TTTTTGGGAGTTGTTACTAGTTGTGCTCTATCTACCTGGCTCCAGTCACCCAGAGATTTCAAAGCTCTTTTCCAAGGTGGGGGCAGGGGAGGGGTAAGCATCCTCATTGCCATTTTGCAGCTGGGGAAGTAGAAACCCAGAGAAGTGAAGTGTCTTGTCCAGTGGCCAGCCAGCATCCCTTGTTCTTAGCAGTTGAGCACTGTCCTGTGACCATTTCAGATTGCAAACTCCTTGGGGCAGGTGCAGTCATTTGCAGCACACGTGTAAAGTACAGCACATCAGGACCCCGCTCTGGATGACTGCTGTAGGTGCTACAGCACCGCGGACGTTAAACCGTCTTTTACCAAAGCTGTCTCCTAACTGGGTACAGGTGACTGCGGATCATTACCTAACAGACAAGCAGCGCTGTCGAAGAGAACAGAGTGCATCCCGGGTTCGAGCCGCAGCAGGCAGGCAGTGACGGGAGGAGGGGAGAACAGCTCCGTGGCAGATGGGGAGACCCCGACGCGGACCTCCCTGTCACGTCCCATTTGCTTTTCTCCTCGCTGAGCGCACCTCGCGCTCCTAGCTTGTGCAGACACATCTTCTTTGTTTGTCAGTCTGTCAGGGACTTGGCTTCCTTCTAAAGAGGCAGTACAAACTGCATCTCCAATCTGTCCTGCTGTTTTATGTTGCTGGTAAAAATAAAACCCTGCTAGCATGGGCAGCTCTCATAGCACTGAGGATTTATGGCCGGCTGGGGTGTTTTCCTAAACTGGTTGGCTACAGGGGCAGCATGGCCTTTTTGGAACTGTTATCAGTTTCTGCAGACCAGGCCCTGGGCCCAGACTGTTGCTTAATTTGGATGTGAACGTAGATGGGTTGCTGTCTGCAAAGCTCTGACTACATGTTTTCATTGTTGCGCAGCAGGGAGCCTGCCCGAGTCTGTCTTGACTCTGTCCACGGGGAACAGGCATCAGGGACCTCGGGATTAATAGGCCTGTCGCTCTTCTAGGTAAAAAGACTGTTCCAACTTTTCTCTGAGCCTAGTCTGCACAAAATGAACTATTCCAGACAGATTTTACCTTCAGCTCTTCTGTGACATGGATTTGCATTTCTACCTAGAATTTCTACAATCTTTTCGCACTCTTCTGTGCCCAAAAGCTTGCAAATAAAGAATTTTTTTTTGCAAATATCTAGTTGGTCTAATAAAAGATATCACCTCTGTCACGAGTTCTGATTCCTTTTGACTATAGACCAGTACAGCTACAACCTGGATACCTGTGGCTCTTCTAGGCGCTTAGACAGCCCAGGATGCCTGCCTTCTGGAGCAAAGGGGCTTTAGCCTGGCATGTGGATGCAAGAGTGAACGTACAGGCAAACTCAGTCAGCATTGCAAGTTCCTACTGTTTGCACTACTGGATTGGGGCTGGGCTTTTTAAAGGGCCCTACCACAGGTAGCTGGTGCTCTCAGATACCTGAAGAGGTCATGAGAGCCACCTCAAGGGGCAACCCGGGAACGACTCCTCTGGGCTGCAAGTGGGGGGCAGGTTTGTCCAGAGCAGACATGGCCACACAACTCAGGAAGGGCAAAAATATCAGGAAGCTCAGGATGCCCCTCAGGATGCCCGTGAGGTTTCATTACTTTCCCCTGGTATCAGCACTTCTTATCTGCTGGTCCCAAAGCATCTTACAGAGGTGATTCATTGTCATCATCTCTGCTCTCAAGACAGACACTGAAGCACAGGTGTGACGAGCCTGATTTTTAGAGGCACAGGAAGACAAATTCCTTTGAAAGTCAGGCTGGAAACAGTCCGTTCAAACCCAGCAGGGAACAAACCCCAGCTCTCCACACGCCTCTTCTCCTGCTGGGTCCCAGTCCTCAACTCTGCTGTGCCCATCCCTGCTACAGCAGATTTCAGAAGTTGTCAGACCTGACACAGTTCCCATTTTTTGCACATACACAGCACAATTTTGGCATGACAGGACCAGCCCTGGGTTGGGATGAACACGCTTCAGAGTAGGGCAACATGTCTCCTTGCTGCTTGCCCTTGCTGTGCCATCCTTTCCCTCCGTCCTGCAGCGTGGAGGGGGTGCTGCAGGGTGCAGCTCCAAATTGGCAGTCACAAGCACGTTGACACAGAACCGTCTGCTGACATGTTTGCAATGCATCGTTTGCTCTCGTGCAAGAAGACTTCTGCATAAAGAGATAGTAAAGACAGCGATGATACATAATCAGTGGTGTAGCGTATCGCAGGGTTCCCACATGATTTAGATGCATTCGGAACTGCAAAGCAACCAGATTGACTATAGGTACCTCTGTGTAAGACGCAGTAAATTTGCATTTGTGTGTGCACGTGTTTAAAATCACGTGCAGCATGGATGTGTGTGTGTGTATATATATATGTATGCCTGGATGTATATGTAACGTGCAGAGGTGGAAGGATATTATGCATTTGTGCATACTATAAAGTGAAAGAATCAAGAAATCATGAAGTCGGTTACCCTTAACAATGAAGCCCTTTAGCCCTCTCACAGCATGGTGTACTTCAAGGTACGAACTCAACAGAAATCCCTACCAGCCATGCTGCTTAGTTATAGACACATCTAGTCTAAGATACTCTAGGAGGATTTCCACCCCTTCCAGAACTCTGCTGAGAGTTTCTGAGCAACTGAAGAAGAGAATCGATCTTGTAGTTGCCTTCTTAAATACAGCAGTGCTCGAAAAGGTTGCTGTCAGTGTGTAACATGAGAACTGGTGTGGGCTGGATCTCCTCGGCCAAAGTAAACGCAGCATTAACATGCTCCAGACATTGCTGCATAGTTCTGCGTGCCGTTCAGGAGAGGAGGTGACGTTCGGGCTTCAACCTTGTGCATCCCTGAGCCCTCCAGGTCCTTCAAGCCACTGCTGTGGATGTTGGGGTGCTTTTGCTAGGTGTAAGCATGAAGACTGAAGAGGGTTGGAGGGTGGCTGTGTATCTGTGCAGGGATGCTGCATGAGCCCAATACATCGCAGAGATCCTGTTAAATGATGCTGAGTCCTTTACTGTTCCCCTGTGCTGGTTGCGTTTTATCCTGAAGATATATAATTAGCGTAAGGCTCCTTGAGTGATGAGGGTTGTAATCACTGATGATGATGTAATGGGCAAAAACAAAGCAACTATAGCAGCAGCCATTAAAAGAAGCCCTTGCTGACAATAGTGGTACCTGACATCAGACAGTCTTCCCCTCTGCTTAAGCAATGGATTGGTAACAGCTGGGAAATGACTTCTTGATGGCTTCTGCTGTTCTGGCGAGACTGCTACCATGGGGCTCGTGGAAGTGATCTTGACAAGCAATGAGAAGGGGTTTCACTGCCGCTTTGCAGTCTCTCTGATCAGCTTGTGGCTTCCTGCATGGCTAGAGCCTTTTCGTGCCCTGCTTTGGCGTACGCTGCTTGCAATGTTCTGCTGCTGCACCAGAAGCTATAGATCTGGCTCGGCGATTTAAGAGGCCGCAGCTATTCCATGCTCACATCAATAAACATAATAATCTGGGAACTTCTCCTGAAGTCTCCAAGGACCCAGCTCATGTCTGAAACCTGCTACCATCCTCTTGTGCTCGAGGGGTGGACGTAAATCTCTCATGTTTAATGATCAGGAAAGATCCTGCTGCAGGGCTGTATGTCCCTGACATGAGATGGGGCCCAAGTTTGATGGAGTTGTGCTGTTCTGGAGGGAATACCTTTGGGATCACAACAGCCTTGGAATAACTTACCAGCACCAGCTGGTGCTGGAAGGTGACAATACTAGTAATATGTTACATGGATTTCAGTGGACACAACACAACACGTCACACAAACCAGACCTAGGTGCCAGGTTTGTTTGGATTTTTTTGTTCCTCATTGATAAACCAAGGAATGAAGGAACCAAAGTGACTTTTACCACCCACCATTTCTTAGCCTTTGAGTGAGGGAAGTAACCCTGATGGTAGAGGCTTGTATGGGAATCTGCATCCTTGGAGGATCCTGCTTTGAGTAGGGGGTTGAACTAAATGACCCCCTTCCAACCCTGATTTTCTATGACTGCAGAAGTACTGTGCAAACTTCCTGGCCTTCTTCGCAACTCCCAAAGGTCAAGCATTGAAATTCAGATGGTATAAAGCTAAGCGCCTTCCATGCTGCCTTTTTTTCATACACACCCTGGTTCGTGGGCCTTGCTGCCACCATCTTTGTTCAGTTTTGGCCTTCCCCAAACTTCTCTACAAACCTCTCTGCATGCAGGCATGGAAAGCAGAGTCACCTTATCCTTTGGAAGGTCTGGCAGGGGCATCCTCTGGTCAGTAGCGCCTCATGACCTTCATCTGTGCAGTAATTATTTCTGGAGGTGACCACGAGTCTTTAAAATTGGCAAGCCTGCCATCTCTCAGGGCATCACTGGGACAGGAACTTTGTCTAGAATGACAAGTGTCAGCACATAAACAACTGATGAGTAGTATTTAGCGAGGAGATGTCCAAAAAGGTCTAAAGGATTTAGCAGCGGAAGCCCAGTGATTTTCGGTAGGACTCATAGACCTCAAGCATTTCTCAAATTTTTCTCCTCTGACCCACTAAGCCATAGGGATTTTAACTTTATTTTTGTCACCGGTCATTTGTTGGAAAACTTTTGTGCCCCACATAACAAGCACGTGGGAATTTTCCAGTGGTCTGTTATGATGACAGAGCTCCTTTTCCTCCTCCAAATGCATCTCATTTGGATTCCCTTCTCTAGTTGCCTCTTACATCCTAGATCAAGCAGGATTCTAGCTGTATCAGTCCTTGTGTCGCTGAGGCTGTAGTTTTCACCTCCCTATCTTGGCATCTGATTGAAACCTTTTGAAATCAATGGTAGCCTTCCCGTTGACTTCAGTGGACTTTTGATCAGGTCTTGAATACGGCTCCATATTGGGCCCTGGTGTCCTGTTGTGGCCAAGTACCTCTGGCCATGAGGCAAGGCTTTGGAGCAGGCTTTGTTTTGGTGGGGGGTGTTGTCTGTGTATAATTTAATGGGAGGTGATGGGCACTGGCAGGGCCTTGAATGCTTTGCTGTCAGACCTCCTCCATGTCAGGGATGTGGGTTGCTGATGCCGCCTGCTTGCCTCTCTCTGCCCCAGAGGAGCTGTACGTGTGCCGAGCGGTGCTGCATGCACGTGGCTGTCCAACCGTGGGAACCGGGCACGATCAGAACGTCGTGCTTCAAGAGCCTCGCACGTGGTGCTGGCCTGGCTACTCCTGCCGAGGTCTATGGTAAAGCATCCGGTGACCGTGCTGGGAGCAGAAGGAGCCAGTGCACGTGTGAACGCCCCGTGGGGAAGGAAGTGCTGGCCCACTCGATGGCAGCAGCAGATTTGTCATTGACCTCAG